TGCCAAGCCAAGTCACCATACTTGTCTGTAAATCGTTGATGCTGTGTGTAGCGGTGCAACAGTGGTGAACGATAGCCTGATTTAACCGGTTGTATCATACCATCGTATTCGGGGGGATGAGAACCAGCTCCACGGTGCTCATCGACAGTCACAGATGGGCCGGACAAGTACTTAGAGCAACCAAGTTGTATGTGAGTTTTTTGGTGTATACATTTACAATCCCGTGGTTAATATCAGTTTGTTTCAGCGGAGTTGATTTTTTTCAAGCCTCTTTGAGCTTATAGTGCCTCATTACGGCGGTGCGTTAGCAATACAACATTTGATCCACCTGGACGTTTCTGACGCACGCTTAGGCGCCTCCAATACCTTGTTTCTAAGTCATTAAGAAGGAGAGTCTGAGAACCGTTGACCTAGACGGATTCTGCCAAGATGAGTTAAAAGGTTGGTCGTCGGAATATGCTGCGTTTCTCAAATTAGGTCCGGCCTTTTGCTGATATGAATCTTACCAAGTCTGCGCATTCCACGTAGTTAAAAAAAAATTTAGCGTCTTTCTGTCTATTCGATCCCGGAGGGCGGAGAATGCTAGTGTGGCTTTCAGGAGAGTATACATCCTTTGGATGGAGTCTATACTCGAGGGATTACCGTAGTGTTTGAGTTAATGCAGTTGCAAATAATGTTCGGAAACCTCAGAAGCGTTAGCAACAAAATTGTGTATACCATAGATGGATGACTACCTACCTAGCGATTTAATTCTGGGAAACTTCAAACACGAATATTGGGTTCTGGTACATGGTTTCCCAAAGGTATCGAATTCAAGCAAAGTTGGAAGCAGCTGGAATAGTGATCTTATTAGAGTGTAGGTGGTTGCTCTGTGGAGAGAGCTCATTGGGGCGACTACTGTAATGTATATTTATGTATATGTATATATATAGAGTTCAGCAAGTACGATAACAGGCAGGTGCATCCGAAAAATAGTCCTTGAGTACAACGGGTATTTTCCCTGGAGTTAAAGTGCAATATAATCTAACCTAATTTTATACAGCTGTGCTCACCACGGAAGTATAAGCTGAAAGACAAACACCTGGTTACCACCGCAACTACAACGAAAAAATATCGCATGCCAGATTGTTACTGGCGGACACCAATAGACAGGTAGGACCATGTCAACCCGATAACGGCTTAGGCTCCTGTTGACCACCTGACGAAACGGAGGGCGGACGTAATGGGCGGCGACCGTGTACTTGACAATTCGCCTAGGTGACCTGACAAACAAACTAGGCTTTTTACCGACATGACATCTGACTGCAGTAGACTAACTACTTCATACACAACGAAGGATTACACTGTGGCATAACACGTGAGGTATGTCCGACGGTCTGAAAAGTGACAAGCACACCCACACAACAAACAGGACCAATTGCAATCGTACCAAGTTCTTCTGGTACTTTACTTCAAAGCACGCGGCCTTTCACCAATACGGCTCGCAACCTATCGCAGTGTGAGACGCTCCGAAATTCGACCAATCGCGTCCCTTGTACGCAACGCGACGTGCCCAATGCTACTTGCTTATTCAGTGAATTGGTGCTGATTTGTTCGCATTAATGGTGTACTGTTACCTAAAGTACCGAATTATATGCTACCTTTGATGAATACCTTTGAGAATTACTTTTCCTGAGTTCTTTTTGGTAGCTGACCCCTGTTTGTCAACGGGTATATGCCCGTTGGTTCTAAACTCAACGTGGAGAATTCAGTTCTAAGACTCCCGTGAGCACAATTACATGGCAGCAAAATTTAGCGTTACAGCGACGCACAGCAGAGGTTTTACTGATTAGTGTATAAGCCTGTTTGTTTGACGGGACCAGGAGTGGGGAACCATAAAAGGCTCCTATAGACTGGTTAGGGGCGCTGGCCAGCAAGGGAGCGAGTTACTTATCATAGTAAATACATTTTAACACGCAGCGCTTTCGTTCCTCACTACATTCAGACTCAGGGATTTGTCCAAAAGGAGAAAATGCTATATGTCACAGGCTCTCCAACTGTCAGTAGAGCGACCAGTTGGGAGGGAAACCGATAGACCATTGTGAAGGGTGGGATCCGGCCGTTCTAATGCAGTTTATTCAATAGACTAGCTTTTTATTCAGATTACCAAAGTAAACTACCCAAGGAGGCAATTAAAACGCTTTATATGAGATGGAGGACTATCCAAGTCGTTACCGCAAAGCCTTCCCATACATGCATATAAAGCAGTGACATGTTACTGACGGCAATGTTTTCTTAACCTACTTCTTGTATACCCAAGATGTCCATTAACTCATCAATCACCAATTAATGAAGTTAAGCGCAACTATGGTTCTTAAAGGGGTCTAGATTGAAAGAAACGAGAAAAATCCAAAAGTGCTGGTTATAAAAATATTTTGGGGCTCAGGATCTTGTGAACTTTCTCTTGACGGTGGCTGACAAGGAATATCATCGCATTCCACTGTTCGTAATGAGGATGAAAAAATGGAACTGGATGTCAGAAATTTCCAGGTCATGACAAATTCACACACGGGGATCTGTTACCTGACACTAATTCAATATATGAACAGTGGTGATGACTGGAAAATCAGTAGGAAACGGGTGCAATACATAGTGGAAAAGAATGCAGCAAATGAAAAATCTGTCTGAGTTAACAGAAAATATTCAAATCAGCAATGTGCGATAAAAAGTTTGCTTTCATGGCCACCCTCAGAAGCACAGTTGAGTGCGATCCAATCCACATTTTCCCCTATTATCAGCTGCAATCAACGGCGAATCAGCTGAGAGTTGTTTGGGAAGCATCTGGAATGAAGCAGCTGACGCGTCTACCTGGCCAAATCCATGAGGAAAGCGCAACGACCAAATCCCAAAATAGAGAGCGGTGTGGTCGACCTCCAAAATAATCAACTAGCCTATATGGTAGAATGCCAGGCCGTTGTTAAAAAAGTATATTCAACCCAGATGGTACACGGAATTCCGAGAGAACGAAAGGAATCGCCGCTTACTTTGAATAGGATATCTGTACACATTGCCTTCCCATGGGTGATAATCGGTTCTTGGTCCTCACCCCGACCATCCCAGCAGTCTAATTCAATGCATCTGTAACCAAGGCAAGAAACAATGAGTCAGTTCGACGACAGCGGAACGCAGAAACAGCGCGTGTATGGTAAATAACAGCCATAAAAGTTATGTGGAAGATGGGCAGGAGGGAAGCTAATGAACATCAACAGAGTTTGGAAGGCCGAAAATGTTCTATGCAGATACCCGAAAATGCTCTAGTATCTGACATCATAAATGATAACCTAGCGACCATATGCAATGGGGGTACGTGTCATCCTTTACTAAATAGGGCTTACCTACAACCAGCTAGCAATACCTGTCGATACATCTCCACCGAAGACTTGCCACCAAACTGCCGTCCACTAAGGTAAGTGTTGTGTGAAGAGTTGATATAGTAATGACTGAGTGGTTGGTCCATTTCTTGATATACATCTAGTCGGTCCAGAAACACACAAGCGTTGTTGTCTGACATGAGATACCGGTAGAAGCATTCAATGGACAACATATCTGGAGGGAGGATGGAGAATATAAAGGGAAATTTCGTCTCTGATCAGCAAAATTAGGGCATCGACAGACGCAAACAATTCGTGGTGAAGTCTCAGCAATGAATTCAGAAGCTGCATGACAATGTGTTGGAAAGTGTGTGCTGAGTGATACGTCGAAGTATCTGCAGCTCTGGTAAGCTTACTTGTGGTTCGTCCAATCGCTGGGCAAGACAGTGTGTTCGCAAACGTCTCCTCACTAGTCAAGGACACAATCGAACCATGCGATAATTAAGTCACCTAGACGGGTAACAAAATGTTTGCAAAATGCTCAGCTCGGACAACGGATCAAATCCCAATGGATTTTTGATTATCCGACCAACACTGGAGCAAATAACTAAGCATGAGTTATGTGTCTGAGTAGAACAAACGGACAAGGTTTTAAGGACTACTTTTCTCAAGAACACATGGAATCACTCACTCTGGGGGAAGCACCATGTATAGTGAAAGCACAGGTAAACCGTAAACTCCAGCGTCCCATTGGAACATATAAAAATGTGTCCTTGTGAAGTGGTGGGTAGATTTGCACTTACTAAGACGGTAAACAAATGCAACAGTACACCATTCTGTAGATCTAACATAAGCTTTGCTAAAAAGTTGGAACCACACCGGAGCCGCTTCTTTCTTGTTAAGACTCATCGGCATGTCACCGCTACTCCTGGGCATGAGTCAGTAACCCGGAACATATTACACACAACCTGAGGGGGCGCTGCTATGCCTGTTGGTGAGCTACCGGCTACCCCTAGAGTACTCAGAGCGAAGTGTTGCAAGCAATATAGGTTTGACAAACCTGCACGGACAGATTGGCGACGCAGCAAAAAGGGTGATTCAGACATTTACACAAAAAAGCTTTCTCTACAATTTATGAAGATGAAGTGAGAGTACTCATCGATGTCCGGTCATTATCCGAAACGGATCAAAAGGGATGCCAATCCCAAGTTAAAATGAGAACATGATTGTGACCGGGATCATGTGTCCGATCCAAAAGCTTGGTTTACCTTTGAGAGATTGTTTAGAGGAAAATGTCGCCCACATGTCATCACGCTTCACACGATACTTTGTGAGGCAAAAGGACTTTACTTAAAAGGAATATCATTTGCTTCTCATCATTTGCCTTTGTGTTTCACCTAGAAGTCATTATGTGGGATTCGTGAAAAACGAGCTCAACTCCAATTTGTGTGTGACAACCGTAAGGAGCCACTAATCAATCGAACCGAATTGAACACCATTTTCATTTCCTGCAAAAATGGCTTACCGGGAAAGTCATCAGTCAGGATTGCAGGGTAGAAAAAAAATCTAATGGACACGAGCAATTTCGTAGAAATCTTTCATGTGCGTGACTGTTCAGCACCCAATGTGGCTTTCTAATGCTTCGAAGGTGGAACTGGTGAACGAAAAAGTATATACTGAGCCTTTTCAGACGCGGTGGTTGTGGAACACAAGTCAATACTTGGAAATGATCGTGAAAATCATACTTCTGTCGTGTAACAATTTGATTGACAGCAACCAGTTCACAATAGCATTTTGGTTGTAACTCAAATCATTTCCTGCAAAAATGGCTTACCGGGAAAGTCATCAGTCAGGATTGCAGGGTAGAAAAAAAATCTAATGGACACGAGCAATTTCGTAGAAATCTTTCATGTGCGTGACTGTTCAGCACCCAATGTGGTTTTCTAATGCTTCGAGGGTGGAACTGGTGAACGAAAAAGTATATACTGAGCCTTTTCAGACGCGGTGGTTGTGGAACACAAGTCAATACTTGGAAATGATCGTGAAAATCATACTTCTGTCGTGTAACAATTTGATTGACAGCAACCAGTTCACAATAGCATTTTGGTTGATAACTCAAATTTCATTGCTATTTAGCCATTCTGAGCAAGAGAACACCTCAAGATGACTTTAAACGCCGGTACCTAAGGAATAACCGCAGTAGAAGCTGCCCTAAGTTGATCAACTGGGTTGAAATCCTTGATGTTTTGAGTGACTAACGTCAGCTCGGATCACGGATCACTTTTGAGGCATGTTGTCTGTAAAATCATTTCTAGAAAAGGACGTAAGAGTCGAAAGGCTCTGGCTGACGGACGGGCAACCAGGCGTCCACTGCAAGTTGCTCACTGCAAGTTATGAGCAACCAAACCAAAATATGTATTTTGCTTGATAGCTTTTTTAGTTTATCGAATGAATTCATGAGTAGAAGATAGCGATGGGAACAATGACGGGCTCAACTGCTGGTTACGTCGACTAACAGAATCCAGCCAGTTCTATTCAGTAATCGTGAGTCCCAAAAACAGTCTGACTGAAACTGTTGTAAACCGACGCTTCGATGTAGTCCGATGGCAACGCTCACAATTACGGTATCACTTCCATCCTTTCGCCAGAACGCTGCAGTAACTACGGTTGATTGCCCACATTCCTGTCTAATTTGAGTTGAGTGCTTTATTATAACTTGATTTACCGAGTGAACCAAGTCATCTCAAGGAAAACATTCGGACCAATCAGCAGAAAAAGCTCACATTTGGTTAACATAAGAGGGATAGCAAATAGGAAATTGTTACAGTATAACAAAACCGTTCTGACGACTACCGACCAATCATATGGAAATCTCAATATACATATAAAATCATATCAAAATACAAAACTAGTAAAACGAACCTGTATTCTTGTATTCCTCTTGAGTTTCGTAATTTTCCTGTATGTACTTTATTGTCTGTCGGTTAGCAAACGGATACAGAATCTCGTTTAGGCGCGGATCTCGTTGTGTCTTAACCGGGGGAGAAATAGGACAAGAGTAAGGTTAACAACACGTAGGAAATATTAGATTTCGAAGCCTTCTACAACAAAGCAATCAACTGATTCTCTTGTGAAAAAGTGGTACAGCAGTTCTCTGGTAAGACTAGATCTGTGAGCCTTAACGTGTAGTTGAACTATCTATTTGGTCGGTGTTCTGTTCGATGAGCTGGGTCATTTTGTTGTAAATGTTTAGTTAGCAATTGAGGTGGCATCACCAGTACTCAGTAAGCTGGCGGTGCGTCGCACTGCGCTTTGTACAACATTCCCTTCGATAGCGGCCTGTCTATTTCGAGGATAAACAAAAGCCTAGTGTTAGACGGAGAAAGTGTGGCACAATGAACAAAACAGACACTATAGTTAACTTAGTGGCTTACGCAAGTACCTGAAGATAACTTTCTCAGCAAACAGAAAACTTTCCATTTTTTTCCGCCCAAGAGCCACGAGCTATCCGTACACCAACAGTCACTATGCTGGCGGAAGCTCAATACACACGCAATCAGCCGTACATCACTCACGAACGGCTCGTGGTTGCCTAATGCACATAAAGTCTTCGATACTGTCAACTTTTAACTGGGCGCCATCTAACATATTCACCGCTAACACCATCAGTAAGCTATCAGTGTAGTACTTGACAATCGGTCCACATAGTGTTACAGCATGGAGACGAGGGACGTAGAAACAGTGTAAATAAACGCTACTTCTGAATCGCACGAAACTTAGAGAAAGTATTCAAACGCCCTCGGAATGATTGTGTTAAGCTAGCACATCCCCCCCATCCACCTTTATTCTTTTCTTCACAATAAGACTTTCAAATAAGTCATGGTCGTACGGCAGTGAAGCGTCGGTGTTGAACACTGATGTCATGCTGTCGATGATGATGATTCAAACGCCCGGCTAAACACGGCAGTTGGAGACACTGAATAAAATTCGATGAAGAAAATTCGCCATGATCATCATTCCAAATGTTTTCCAGGGACCCGATTTTATAAATGAGTTTGTTCAAAATCGTACGCATATTTAGTGATTCGGCCAGAGAGATAAAAGATAAAGCGTTCAGCTGTAGCACCCTTCCGGTGCCTAGCTGCCATGCCACCCGAAGGAAGCACGAGGGCTGGGATACTGCCAGGTTGCCCAAGCCTAGACAGGGGAAGTCGAGTGGCGGAGGTCGGATTCGAACCGCGGACCTTCAGGTTAGTAATCCGCGCTCTAACCACTTCGGCCATCTCGCCCCGGATTCGGCCAACCGGGTGTGTCAACTGGATGAGCAGGAAGATGTTCCATAAAGAACCGTGTGTTCAATTCGAGTACATCCTTTAGAAAAGCTAAACTATCTGTGGCAGGCGTAGGCCATTCAGTATACTACTGTCCCCCGAAGCAGATCATCTGCAGGCTGATTCACTCTGTACCTTAAATGAGGCTATTCGATTTTGGCGTTCATCTCAAAGATGATCATTATTGCTATTAAGAGGGACAATTTCTTTGAACATGCAGCTTGTGATGAAAACGAAAAGTGTACATGAAAACTCAGAGTTCGATAAAGCATGGTGATGTGTGTACAACCTGCATAACAGAGGGAACCGAAATATTCCAAACTCAACCCATGGGACTAGTCCATCCATCCTGGAAAAATCATACCGTATTCATCAAAAAAACGAAAGATAAAGATAGTCAGCTACCCTCTCCCTCTGATATGTTAAGGTACATAATGTCAGACGGAACCACATGAAACAAGGCAGTCACCTAATTTCAGCAAACAATAGTCATAGCATTCAGAAGCTCAAGAGCCTGTGTGACCGTCGTGATCAAGGATTCCTAGAGTGCATCAGTAGCTATCATACAGCGCAAACACGGAAGTCGCAACAGTCAACTGAAATTGTGTTCGCGTGAAGGATATATGGAATGTCACGTCTTCCATCCTACCTCGTTGAGAAATTCGATCATCTTGTCTGCGTGTAGCACATCCGTGTTGTTCGATCTGAGAATATGACGTAAAAAGGGTAGGATATGTTTGGTGAAGTGACCGATTATATAGCAATTCAGAGTGCATGCGATAATTCGCTCACTGTGCATTGAAAAAAGTATTATACGTTTGCCAACCCCATGATTTGCGAAGAACAACATGAGAAAAATTAAATCCTAGAATGCTCATGATCAGGATAAAACTTCGAATCGGCGTACAGAAAGTGGTTCGTTTTAAGGAGCACGGTGACATTCAAGACAACCTCAGAACTTCTGGATCACCAGACATGAGATGCACTTCGGAGCGAAAAATCCTTCTTATCCTGATATAGACTACCTTAAAGAAACTGTCACATAGATGCCAAGAGGCCACAGTGGGTGTTATCTCGGCAAAAAATCCAATTCCAACATGGAGGGGAATTTTATACGACGAAAGTAGTTGTGTGCTAACTCCAAGGAAAGAAGGAAAAAGATAGCATACATATTCAGTGACAACACGTGTAAATTTCAAAAAGAGAGGTGCTGTCGATTTGAAGACACATGTTAAGGTCCGAACTCGGCCATCGAAACGGAAGGCCGCTGAGAAACCGGATGAAACATTGTTCGCGAAGTGTCTTCGGACTTCCGGAGATGAGTTTTATCTGTATCGTACACCACTACTAGCCCCACCATTCTATGCTCGTCCCGGTTTGCGTTTTTTCGGAATACAATACGTCTCTACATCAAACTGCTAGCGAACTCTCCGGAAGTGGTAACTGCGGTGCATTTTCGCTCCAAAGAAATCACTTCAGAACACTAACCAGAAGTTATAGTTTTAGAAGTGTTATTCTCCAAACGCCGTCCCATGAAGACAGAACTGTGTCCTAAAAATGAAAAAACCATCGGAACATAGGCCATGAAACACAATATTTCCCAGCAAGTGTGCATACTAACAGATGACACATTCTAAAAGATAGCAAAGCCTATCGTTCACGTGAAAACTCTATCGAGTTTAAGGGTTCCAATATTATAAATAAAACAATCGTTCAAGTGTAACACCTTTAGATGCCCAGCTGTCATGCCAACGGAAGGAGAGCTGAGATAAAGCCGGGTTGCCCAGCCCTAGACAGGAGCAGTCGGTATGCTGTGGTTGGCTTCGAACCACGGACCTTTCTGTCCGTAAGCTGGCGCCTTAACAATCGAGCTATCTGGAGCCAAGGGAAAGTGCATCTTGGGGTTATACATCAAACCATTTACTGATCATGCTTCGGGTATTTTCCTGCCAGACATTTAGGTCGTTGACTGAACAGATCTTCATGTATTGTAAAAATCTGAGCAGTCGATACACTACTCCTTGCTGAAGAGTCCACTCGCTTGGAAAGCTCACAACAGTGTTCCTGTTGATGACAGTCTATGGTGGATGATGGATTATCTACCAGCTCACTAAACACTCTCTTCGCATTGGTAGTCTCTCTTGTGAGAAGCTACGGTTTTACAGGAAAATGAGACGATCAAGTTATCTTGAGTG